ATGATCAGCTAGCTGACTCTCTCATATTTCATCTTCTACACTCCTCCCCCTGCAACCTTATTGCTTTCTTATTTCTCTTCTGCTAGTTTTTGAAGGCTTCCCAATCCTCTGGCTTCCCACTCATCTTCATTTGCTTTTATGCTCTCACTGACTTCCCTTGTCAACCATGGTTGCCTCATCATCCCCTTAGTATATTACTTCTTCCTTGGGATGAATTTCTGCTGCACCTCCTGAACTACTCCCAGAAACCCCTACATTGCTGTTTCATGATCTTTCCTGCTAGGATCCCCTTCCAATCAACTCTAGAGAAGGGTCTAGACCCGAAACGTCAGCTTTCCTGCTCCTCTGATGCTGTGTTCATCCAGCTCTACACCTTGTTGTCTCAGATTTTCCAGCATTGGCAGTTCCTACTATCTCTGCTCTGAAAATATCTTCTCGTAGACATTCCACAAATTCTTTTTCTTGAGATCTGTTACCAACCTAATTTTCCCAATCCACCTGTATATTGAAGACTCCAACGATTATTGTAAGAGTGGCTGAAACCAAAATGGCAGGATTAGGTTTCTAGCTTTAGATGCCAGTGATTATTATTCTGTGAAATTTATAATGTGTTTTTATGACAGTCCTGAAGTAACCATTTTAAGCAATCATCAAAAATTACTTCTATTTAGATAGCACTTTTAACATCAAGCAATAACAGGTCAGAGACTGGGAATTCTACAATGAGTAACTCCCCCTCAAACCTGCGACCTCTACCTTCTAGAAGGGCAACAGCAATTGATACATGGCAACCTTAGCACATGTAAGTTCTGCTACCAAACACTCACCATCCTAACTTGGAAATATATTGCCATTCCTTCACTGTTGCAGGGTCAAAATCCTGAAACTTTTGCCCTAACAGCATTGTGAGTGCTCCCACACCACACAGATTGTAGCATTTCAAGCAGGCAGCTCATCATCTCACTCTGCAGGCCAATTAGGGATGGATAATAAATACTGGCCAAACCAGCAATGCCCATGAATAAGAAAAAAATGATTAAGCTATGCATTTAAACAGCAGATTGATGAGTTCACAGGAGCTGTTAAATGCTGGTACAAATACAACAAATATTTGTTATTCAAATAAAACAGTATCTGCAGTGTGTTACCAGGAATTCCATGTTTTCTTGGTGTGTCAATTATTAGGACTTTGTCATAGTCCTCCTCATTGTTAACTTTACCTCTCAATTTGATAATCAGTTAATTCATAAATAAACCAGTTTGATTTCTTGTGATTTGTTCAGTCAGCAAATTAATTAAAGATTAATGAGCTGTTCTACCATGTTTTATTTAAGTTTAAATTTCTGTTTGCAGTTTACTGGAATTCTCCCCCCAAATTTTAAAATTGGAGTTCAGACTTCTGATACCCAAACTATTATAAATTGTTAATAACAGTGGGTTCAGTGTTACTCCCGATAGAACACCACTTCCTAACTCTTGATTAACTGGAGTAGGTACACTTAACAGCTACATTCTGATTTCTGTCTTGTAACAGGCTTGCCATCCATCACAGTATGACTGATCCACAAAGTGAACCTGATCAGGCTGTGTGGACTGAAGAGGCAGGCAGCAGAATAGATGGAAAGACCAAGACAGAATTGTTGTGGTGCAGAAAGAGACCAATCTGCCCATTGTATTTGCACTTGGTTAAAGTTGCTGCTACCATACTTCCAGGCTCTAATTATTTGCAGTGGAAAACTTTTCCCTCACCTTGCGTTTGCTTCTTTTGCATGTTACTTTCAAGTTTTGCCCTTTTTGGTTCTCAATCAATTTATGAACAGAAACAGTTTCTCCCTATCTCATGCAAGCAAATCCCTCATGATTTTGAAAACTTCAATCAAATCTCCTTTTAGCATTTTCTTCTGTAATGAAAACAGTCTGAATTTCTTTACATTGTCTTTATAACACGTTCCTGTAAAACTCTTCTGCCCCCTCTCTAATAAGTTCTCATTTTCCTGGAGAGTGGCACCCAGAACTGTACATAATACTCCAATTGACGTCTGACAAGTGCCATACACAAGTTCAGCATAACTTCTAATCTATGTCCGTAATAATAATGCCAGAATACTGCAGGCTTCATTAATGGCTCTCTCTACCCATACTCTCTCCTTTATTGGTTTTGCGCATACATATACCCAGGTCCCTCTGCTGATGCTCTTTAGAGTAGTTACCCATTATTTGCTGTTTCTGAACTTTGTCTGTTATCTATCCACCCCCTCCTCCAACTTGTCAGTCATACAGCATCGAAATAGACTCTCTGGTCCAACCTGACCATGTTTCCACACTGAACTAGACCCATCTGCCTCTGCTTGGCCTGCTTCTCTCCAAACCTTTCCGATTCATGAACTTATTGAAATGTCTTTTACACATTGTAACTGTACCTGCATCCATCACTTTCTCTGGCAGTTGAAATTGTGCCTTGGTCAGCAAGTTCTAGATCATTAACATTGTCAGGAAAAGGAAGGATCTCAATGGCCCTGGGGACCTCCACCACAAACCTTCCTCCTCTTAAAAAAATATTCATTGACCATTCCTCATTATTTTCTATCATTTTGTAACCACTGACAAGTCTTTAATCAGATGAAATCCATCTGGCTTGTACGTGGGCCATTCAGTCCTGACACAGTCCCTCATGAGAGCGCCTAAACAAGTCTGAATATGTTAATGGGACATCAGTTCCCTGGAACATTTAAAATACTTGCCACATTCTAGTTATTTCAAAGGTCTTGCTCCAGTACGATCTTAGTGGTGTTTTCGGGTGGTTGGATAAGGGAATGAATCTGTCCCCATGCGTGGAGATGGTGAACTGCCTCTTCCTAATGTGAGTGCGCCATTGTACAGTGAGTTGCAATGATCACCTGAACTCACTCCCATTGCTGAAAACACATTGATGGTTTCTCATCAATGAGAATACATTGATGGGACATCAGGTCCCCAGAACCTGCATAGCACTTCCCACGGTTTGGGCAGTTAAAAGGCCTATTCCCATGGTAAAACTGCTGAAACACCAGAAAGTTATCTGATGGAATGAATTGTTTCACACACTTGGAATAGCTAAACAGCGTCTCCCCATTGGCAACATTCACTCGAGATGAATGCTATCTTCTCATAATTTGCTGGTGTGTCAGCAGGATGGATAACTGAGTGAATCAGTTCCCACACTCGGCAGCTGAATATATTTCCAGTTTTGTTGAGTAACTTAATCCCTACCCTCGGTCCCCAGGTGTCCAGGGTTTCTCCTGCGTATTGATACTTGTGAACTGGCAGTTGCCTTACAGTTTGAAGATGCTGTGCTATTCAGATTACATTTAATTGGACACTCTGTCGGATCCTGATGTCTTCAGTTTCACAACTGCACATCCTCAGGATGCTGCGACATAGATATATTCATCTCAGACTTTTCAGAACAAAGAAGGTGCGTCTGGCTCACTTGATGCAATTGTTACCGTGGCGACGGCTTTCAATAAAACTTGTTGACCATTTTTTATTATTTAGCCTTTTAGGCCTCTGCCTGTATTCTAGTGCAGCAAAATGAATGACGGAAAAGACCTCTTGTCTTCAATGGCAGGGCTGTTACCCAGCGTTTCCAGCGGTAGAGAAACGCTCCTATCCACACAACAGGAGCACAATGTGCATGCGTAGTGTCGTGCTGTTTATAGAGCATGCGCGGAGACTGTGCGGTTTACGGGTAGACGTCTTTTTTCACAGATCCGCAAACGGTGAGAATGAGGCGGGGCCGAGGGAGTGATGAATTCGGTTAATGAATGGGGAGGGTTCGTAAATGTGTTGCGTAAGCCCCAGACCCCGAAATAGGTTTTCTGGTCCCGTTGTTTGCGCAGAGCGAGGCCGCAGCTCCCAGTGTTAGGCCGGATTCAACGGCCGCCATTTTTACTGGGGGCCAAGTACAGCCGGCGCATGCGCGGCCGCCATGTTTTCTGTGAGCAATTGTCCCAGTGACTGAGATTCCAAGGAGTAGGTTCAGAAAGACCACAACTTGTCCATGAAGCTGCATTAGTCTTTGAGACCCAGTGTCTTATTGATGAAGCAGAGGTGGTGGAGAAGGCAAGAAAGAGGCAGAATATATTGTCCAGTTTCCATGACCTTGTCCCACATCCAGCACCCTGTATCCAATGACAGTTCTGTTCAGTGATGGCTTTTGTAGGAAGATTTTCAGGAAAGAAACTGAAAATTAAACATCATATTAATATGAGATAGTAAGGACTGCAGATGCTGGAGTCAGAGATAACACCGTGTGGAGCTGGAGGAACGCAGTAGGCCAGGCAGCATCAGAGGAGCAGGAAAGTGGACGTTTCGGCTCTGAACCCCTCTTCCATGTTCACATTTACACACTCTCTCTCTCAAACGGTCACACACTAACATTCTCTCATACTACCATCACACTCAGTCATACACACTGACCATGTCCTGCTCATAACTACACGCAAACACATGCACATAATCATGAACACTTACACACACTTATACAACACAAATGAGCAATCTAATATGTACACGTACTTCATGAGAGTGTGAATGAGTGTCTGTCACACTGATACACACTCCTACGTGCAAACATACTCATGTATACGCTGTCTTACGCAGACATGCTCACCCATGTACTCACTCTCTCAAACAGACATGCACACACTCGCAATCACACAGTCTGACAACATCACACAAACTCAGATTCTCATACATTTAAGTATTCACTGTCATACAGTCAAGCTATGCTGTCTGTCTCACTCATGTGCACATGCATGGACAGGCAGTGGGTCCCCTTCCCTGAAGGACATTTGTGAAATCATTGAGTTTTTATGACAACGTAATAAATTTTCATAGTCACTACTTCTGAGTGTCTTTCACAAATCGGATTCAACGAACTCCATTTCACAATTCTTTTACTGTCTTGAACAGTTTTCTTTCTCATACTCACCATTTCCTGATTTAAATTTGTTTTACAGGGACACGTTTATTAGGAAGAATGCCAAACAAACAGCCCATCAAGATTTGACAGTGAATCAATTCATCAAGACTTAAAAGCCCTTTGATTTTCAACGTTTGTCTGTGGGAAAAGGTTTCAAATATCAGTGTGACTGGAAATGCACCAAGACACATATATCGAAGTGAATGTGTTCCAGTGAACTGACTGTGGACAAGTCTTGAACCAGTTACACAGCCTGAATAACATCACACCATTCGCAGTGGGAAGAAACTGTATCGCTGTCCTGTGTATGGGCAAGGAGTCAGCTGATCATCCAATATGGAGAAACGTGAGGACAGCTGCACCGTAGAGAAACCATGGAAATGTGTGGACTGTGGGAAGGGATTCAAATACCCGTCCTTGCTGGAAGCTCACCGACGCATTCACACAGGGGAGAAGCCATATACTTGCTCTGTTTGTGGGAAGGGATTTGCTCGGTCATTTGACCTTCAGAAACATGAAGGCATTCACACTGGGGCGAGGCCATTCATCTGTCCCGAGTGTGGGAAGGGATTCAGCGACTCATCCAACCTGCTAACACACCAGCGAGTTCACACTGGGGAGAGGCCATTCGTCTGCTCTGTGTGTCATAAAGGATTCAGTGATTCATCCAGCCTGTGGAGACACCAGCGAGTTCATACTGGGGAGAGGCCATTCATCTGCCCTGAGTGTGGGAAGGGATTTACTCAATCAGCCCACCTGCTGAGACACCAGCGACTTCACACTCGGGAGAGGCCATTCATCTGCCCTGAGTGTGGGAAGGGATTCAGTGACTCATCCTACCTGCTGACACATCAGCGATTTCACACTGGGGAGAGGCCATTCCCCTGCTCTGAGTGTGGCAAGGCATTCTCACTGTTATCCAACCTCCGGGCCCACCAACTTGTTCACACTAATGAGAGACCTTTCAAATGTTCGCATTGTGAGAAGAGCTATAAATGCAGACATGAAATGATAACACACCAACGCATTCACACTGGGGAGAGGCCATTCCCCTGCACTGAGTGTGGGAAACGATTTGTCAATTCAAAGAACCTTCTGAGACACCAGCGAACACACACTCATGAGAAGTTGTTACCTGCTCCCTCGTGGGAAAGGATTTACTCAGTCATCCCACCTGCTGAGACACCAGTGCATTCACAAGTGACTGCAGGGCAGGCATCAGTTGCTGTTGTTCTTAATAAAAGTTTTCCTCACATCACCTCTGCATCTCTTTCCCAAAACCTTAACTCTAGCTCCCCAGTCCTTGGATCATCACAGAATGGAAACAATGTTTTATTTCTCTACCTCACCTAAAGCTCTCAAAAACTCAATACACTTGAAGCATAGTGACCGGAACTGGACTCTAGTTCTGTCCTAAAGAGAGCTTTTTAAAGGTCAGCATATTTCCCCTGATTTTCTCCTTGATATCTCAATTTATGAAGTTCAAGGTTCCATATGTTTTGCTCACTGCTTTCTCAATGTGTCCTATCATCGGTATAGCGTCCCTCCCTCTCAGCCAGAAACTCTGATGTAAAGTCCCATCTGCTACGGAACTGTGTTAGAGCGGTTTTGTTTTTTTTCTCTTATTTCTTAATTGATTGAACCATGTCCATTGTGATCTGTTTCTGCTGAAGGTAATGAACCGCAGTTCAGTTAAAGGGACCATCAGGTTGGGGGAGTGGACTAATAAACTAGAGTTAATTTGTACAGTAAATTTGTTAACGTGCACAATAGATCTCTGTAGTCACCATTCATTTGTGAAGTGGATTGATTCATTTATAGAATTCTCAAACTCATTAAAAGTAAACTTGCTGACTTGTTCCTTTCAGTCCCACCTTGTGTTGATCTGTGTGAAAATCCTGTGTTCCCTTGTGAAATAAATTTGGGTCTATTGGTTGCAGAAGCCTGTGTCCCATTGTCTAAATGAACTTATGTTGTGGCTGCTGTCAGTTTGAAACTGCAGTTTTGTTTCTGTGTGGATTGTAAGTCTGGGGCCAGTGTGTGTGAAGTAAGGAGGTTGGGGAGGAGAGAGGCAGACAGAGGCAGGCTAAACTGTTGAGCTGCTATTTTCCTCACACTTCTGCCCACCCTGCTTCCAATCTCACAAAGATGCCTCTTGGAGTGCTCCATACATGGAGGAACTGTGCCTCAGGAAGAAAGAGCTGGGAGCTGACTGGATGAGTTTGGATTTGGGCAGAGAGGGGTCTTTGAGTGACATACCTGAAGGTATTTAAAGTAGGCCGTGGCAGCCGCAATTCCTTTCACTGTGTGAACAGAGCGGGAGATAAGTATCAGAGGGTTTCTGTCTGTCTGTGTGTGTGTGAGAGAGTGTGACTACTATTGGAATCTCAATATCAGTTTTGATCCTTTAACCTCCACCACCATCACCTGACCCCCCTCCTGAACCAAACTCCAGGTCTGTCCCTCATTAGAGACAGGAGTGTGAAAAACCATCGAGGGAGTGGAGCCCATGGGAATAGTGACTATTCCCTCCTCAGTCTCTCCATGACTTTCCTTAACTACTGTTTGTCTCTGACTTTTCTTCCCTTTCCTCGTGCTGTCTTAGTCTGTCTCCCTTTCAGTATTTATCTCTCCCTCTCTTTCCCCCCTCAGTTGGTCTGTCTGTCACTTGGTCTCCGTAATCTGTCTCTCCCACTCTAGGTCTCTCTGCTTGTCTGTCATTCTCTCTCCCTTTTTCCGCCTCTCTCTCTGTCTCTCTGTCTCTTTTTTTCTTTCTTTTTTTTCTTTTTGTATTTCTGACTTACCTCTGACTTTGTCTCAGGTCTTTCCTATTCTCTGTTCTTTCTCTTTCTCTTTCTTTCTTTCCCTGTCTTTTTATTCCCCCGTCTATTTCTCCCACCCTATCTCTACCCACCATCTCTTTTCCCTGCTGTCCTTTTTGCCCCGTCTCTGCAGACACCCCCCACCAGGTTTTGCTGCCCCTCCACAAATTATGCACCCTGAAATTTATTCAGACCTCCCCCAAGTTTTGTGTCCTCACCAAATTTTGTAATATTGCTCCCTCTCAAATTTTGTACCCCAAATTTTTCCACACCCCTAAGTTTGGTGGTCCCCCAGTTTCTGTGGCCCCCTCCAATTTTGGAGGCATCCACACATTGTGTCCTCCCTCAAAATTTGCCCCTCCAATTTTTGTAGACCCCTATGTTTTGCATGCACCCATTATGCACCACACACTGCACCTCCCAAAAATTTAATGTGCACCCCAACAAATTCTGGCCCTCCCCAAATATTGTGCTCAACACACCATGTTTTCAACTTCCCCCAATTTAACAAACCCCTACTTTTGCTGTGTCCCCAGCCCAATTTTGCATTCCTGAATTTTTCTGTGCACTCCCCAAATTTGTGCAATTTTTCTCCAAGTTTTGTGCCCCAGCTAAATTTTGCAACTTCAAATATTTCTCTCCCAAGATATTGCATTCCCTCATTTGCAGCACTCCCAGCAAATTATGCAATCCTCCACAGCATCCTCCCATTGATTTTGTGACTCACCCCAGGTTCTGCAGCCCCTCCTCAAATTAAGGGCCTGTCCAAATTATGCACCTCCCTAAATGTTGCATCCGCCCCAATTATGCACCCCCCACACAATTTTGCACCTGATACAATGTGCAGTCCTCCCCCACCAAACATTCTGCAAGCCCTTGCATTCCTATTTTCATGCCCCCAAATTTGCCCCACCCCACATAATGTGCCTCGTTCAAATTTTGCAGCCCCAAAAGTTCCGTGCCCACAGCCTACAAATTCGGCACTCAACCCCTCCCAATTTTTGACCTCCCCAAATATTGTCCCTCCCCCATTTTTGTGCCTGTTCCCAATGTACACCCACCTCACAGCTTAGTCATTTGAGAATGTGTAACATAGACATTGGTATTTAGAAATCTGTCAATGATGGAAAGTGAACTGAAGATCTTATGAGAAAAGGCATTGAAGTGAATGATCAGTGATTGTTTTGAATGTTACAGCAGGCATGACGGACTGAGTGGCTACCTACTCCTCTACATATGATTTTTAAGACTTGATCGGATTATGAGATGGTGAATTTTTTTCCTTCCACATCTCCCAATCTCAAAGGGAATCTCTTTAATGACAATTGACTTCTACCTGACCCATCAAGCTCTTAGCTATAAGCTTGTTTTTTCTCATTTCTTGATTACACACCGTGGAGGTCTTTAAGGCTGAGAGATAGATCAGAATCAGAAAACAAATTCTTGAGCTGCCTCCAAGAAAAAATGTCAAAACTTTTCTGGTAAAACATGATAACTATTGACTCAATTCATCCTCCCAGCTGCAGATCATCTCACACAATTCTAAATTGTTGACATGTTGTCAATACAGATAGTTCATACAAAGGTTTATGGATGGATTTTAAAGATTCTCTTACTCTTTTCAACTGCATCCACATAATGGATATGTTGCAACTTATTCTGGACCTAGTATAATTTAGTTTTGTCTTCCTGACCGTCTGTGGAAAGCCAATCAATGATATATTTGTAATCCCCATTTCAGTAATGAGCCAGAGTGTGGGTGTTGAATTAAAACCAGCTTGGATCAGTTTGAAACATTTTCCTCTTGAGAGGTTGTTTTTACGTTTTACACACAGTTATTAGCTCCGATTATGTCAGGGTCAGAAGTATCCTGCTTCAGGATCTGTGCTGGAGTCACATCCTGGAACAGGCCCGTCTTGCATCCGCAGTTCTTTTGGTTTTCATTCCTGAGCTATGCCTCCAACCCCCTCTCTTGTAACTGACTGAGATTCAGCCAGTCTGTTCAGAACTTGGTGTTGCATTTGATTCTGAGAGGAGCTTCTGATCTCATATCTGTATCATCACTAAGACCATCTGTATCCACTTCATTTGAGCCTGTCTCTATCTTGGTGTAGCTGCTGCTGAAACCCTCATTCATCCTTTCCTTACTTCCAGTTTTGACTAGCTTAATGCTGTGCTCAATCATCTTTCACATTCTCCTCTCTGTAAGCTTGAAGTAATCCAACACTTCACCGTTGGTGCATTGCAACAATTCTCATTCCTCTGTCACTCTTGTGCTCACTGATCTACACTGGCACCCATTCATGCAAGGTCTGGATTTTAAAATTCTCATTCTCATCATCAAGTTTCTCCCATGATTTCTCCTATCTTTTTCTCTGTAATCTCGCAATCCAAGATACATGGGTTGCACCAATTCCAGCCTTTTACACATTCCCAATTTGCATTGCTCAATCGTTGGTGGCTGCACCCTAAGTTGACTCAGCTCCAAGGTCTGGAATTCTCTCCCTACATCTCACTTTCCACCTTGGAACCGAGATAACAAGGTGTAGAGCTGGATGAACACAGCAGGCCAAGCAGCATCCAAGGAGCAGGAAGGCTGACGTTTCGGGCCTAGACTCTTCTTCAGAAATGGGGAAGGGGAAGGGGGTTCTGAAATAAATAGGGAGAGAGGGGGAGGCAGATAGAAGATGGATAGAGGAGAAGATAGGTGGAAAGGAGACAGACAGGTCAAAGAGGTGGGGATGGAGCCAGTGTAGGTGGGGAGTTGGGGAGGGGATTGGTCAGTCCAGGGAGGACGGAAAGGTCAAGGGGGCGGGATGAGGTTAGTAGGTAGGAGAGGGGGGTGGGGCTTGAGATGGGAAGAGGGGATAGGTGGGAGGAAGGACAGGTTAGGGAGGTGGGGACAATCTGGGCTGGTTTTGGTATGCAGTAGGGGGAGGGGAGATTTTGAAGCTTGTGAAGTCCACATTGATACCATTGGGCTGCAGGGTTCCCAGAGGAATATGAGGTGCTGTTCCTGCGACTTTCGGGTGGCATCATTGTGGCACTGCAGGAGGCCCAGGATGGACATGTCGTCTGAGGAATGGGAGGGGGGCGTTGAAATGGTTCGCGACTGGGAGGTGTAGTTGTTTAGTGCGAACTGAGCGTGGGGACCGCTTTGCAGAACACCTAAGCCTCCCCTTGGTTTCCCCGATGTAGAGGAGGCCACAACGGGAACAGCGGATACAGTATACCACATTAGCAGAGGTGCAGGCGAACGTCTGCTTGATGTGGAAAGTCTTCTTGGGGCTTGGGATGGGGGTGAGGGGGGAGGTGCCGCACTTCCTGTGGTTGCAGGGAAAAGTGCCGGGTGTGGTGGGACTGGAGGGGAGTGTGGAGCGGACAAGGGAGTCCCAAAGAGAGTGGCCCCTCTGAAAAGCAGATAAGGGTGGGGAGGGAAAGATGTCTTTGATGGTGGGGTCGGATTGCAGATGGCAGAAGTGTCGGAGGATGATGCGTTGGATCCGGAGGTTGGTGGGGTGGTACGTGAGGATGAGGGGGATTCTGTGTTGGTTGTTATTGCGGGGAGGGGGTGTGAGGGATGAGTTGCGGGAGACACGGTCGAGGGCGTTCTCGACCACTGAGGGGGGGAAGTTACGGTCCTTGAAAAACGAGGACATCTGAGATGTATGGGAGCCTCATCCTGGGAGCAGATGCAGCGGAGGTGAAGGAATTGGGAATAGGGGATGGTATTTTTGCAAGAAGGTGGGTGAGAGGAGGTGTATTCTCGGTAGTTGTGGGAGTCGGTGGGCTTGAAATGGACACTCATCAATGTAGCGGAGGAAGAGGTGGGGTTTATGGCCAGTGTAGCTACGGAAGAGGGATTGTTCCATATTACCTACAAAGAGGCAGGCATAGCTTGGGCCCATGTGGGTACGCATGGCCACCCCCTTTGTCTGTAGGAAGTGGGAGGAATTGAAAGAGAAGTTGTTGAGGGTGAGGACGAGTTCGGCTAAGCAGATGAGGGTGTCAGTGGAGGGGGCCTGGTCGGGCCTGTGGGACAGGAAGAAGCGGAGGGCCTTTAGGCCATCTGCATGGGGAATGCAGGTGTATAGGGACTGGACGTCCATGGTAA